GGTAATGAAGAAAAACTTTAATACAAGTTTAACATGACAGCAAATGTACAACGTTTCGACATTTGCTGTCATGTTAAACTTGTATTAAAGTATATATCTCATTACCCATTTAAGCCGTCTCCAGCCATTATTAGTCTCAAAGTGGGTTCCTCGTCATCGAATTTAAATGTAACATATATTCATTAGTAAAATTATGATAGGAACAGAAAGTTGGAGTTTCTAAGCTTGTTTAATAATAATGAAATTGATTATTAAAAACAAATAACTACAATTGCAGTAAGCCCTATACTATCGCGCCCAGGGAAGGTGGAGAGAGGGTGGTGTCATCAAAGATGAAGACGTCATAGTTTCAAAAGTTGCCACCAGAGGGTGTGTTCTTAGGGACGCGTTGCTAGGCCGCCATGACAAGCGACTATTATGTCATAGTTCAACAAAGTATCACCAGAGGGCGCAAATAACTTATGGATGGCTGAATAGTTCGATACCAAACAGGCGGCTATAATGGATGATTACATAACTGTTCATAGCTTCTTTCAGACAATGTTCTGTAAGACACTTAATGTTTCACAAATCTATATAACCAATAATCGCCCTACAGCTAAATATAATAAATTAATGAGTTACTGATTACTAATATATAAAATACCACAACTTTCAGATTGGCCCCTATCACGGAACATACATACAAATTTCTACATGTCGTATATAAACTATGAACAGTTTAGAAATATATTCCATACTTTCACAAGTTTTGTGTGTGGTTGGAGGTGATCAATGGTTATTCAGAAAATGGACAGATACAGTAAGTCAGTAATTAATTATTTTATTACAGATGTTAAAATATGTAAAATAATGATTTAATATAATCAAATCTAGACGTTGATGACTTGTAGAAGTACTGGCACAGTATATTTGTTAAAACCCTACGGTAATAATGGTAATTAAGTCCACTTTTGTAAAACACGAAATAAAGTAAAATGTGTAAAATATTTTGTCACAAATGTGTAGAATTTTTGTTGCATAATTAACGTTTTATTGACGATCTAAATTGTTGTTTGAAGTCAAATTAGTAATAGTATAAGTTTTAATTATTGTATGATATTACCCTTTTTAGGGCGATTTAAACCTATAGTCTTGTATTGTATGCATCAGATTGAGTAAGATATAGTCCTTTTAGGACAGGAAATGTAATAATTCAGTGCTGAAAATCTTTATTCACTTGATTGAGCAAGTTTTAATTATCATATTGTCTTTGTATCACTAATTAATAATAAGGAAATGTAATGTTCTTTTTAGGATGAATTAATTATAGTGTTAGTGTTAAGCGTCCTTTTTCAGGATTTGATTTAATTATAAATTATTTAATGAATTAGTTATAAATGATTTAATTAATTAGTGTTAAGCATCCTTTTTAGGACGAATTTATTAACTAATGAATTAGTTTTATGCATCTTTTTTTATGACGAATTAATTAATTAGAGATCAATTATATTCTTGTTTATACATGTATTGTATGAGTCATGGCTGCCTAGAAACATGTCTTCTACTTTGTGGTAGGATGATTTGATTATTAATTAATTAACTAATGAATTAGCGTTCTTTTTATGGCGATTTAATCAACTATCGAATTAGTTATTACTTATATTCTTATTGAGACATGTATTGTATGAATCATGGCTGCCTAGAAACACGTTCTCTACATTGTGGTCGGATGATTTAATTATTAATTAATTAACTAATGAACTAGCATTCACTGTCCTTTTTAGGATAAAGTAATTAATTTGTGTTAAGCTTCCCCTTTAGAGTGATTTAATTAATCAATGATTAATTATCGACATTATGAGACATTTATTGCATAAGTCATGGCTGTCTGTCATGGCGGCCTAGAAACACGTTCTCTACTTTGTGGTACTATTATGTAATCATCCATTATAGCCGCCTGTCTAGTATCGAACTATAATTTCAGCCCTCCATAACTGGTGACACTTTCTTGAACTATGACATAATGGCCGACTGTCATGGCGGCCTAGCAACGCGCCCTAAACGACACGCCTCTGGTGGTAACTTTTGGAACTATGATGTCTTCAATCAATCAGCGTGAAGTGGCATCCTTTGGGCGCGATAGTGTAGGGCTTACTACATACAAATGATACAATATGGACCCATTCAAAACCTAACATTTCACTGATTACAGCCTTAAAAAAGAAACTCGATATTTATATACTATATTAGACATATCTAAAGCACTGTCTTTAAATAACAAGCTATTTCTGTATTCATGACTAGCTAGAGAAACTCTTAACCGAAATTAACGCTATTCTCGTAAAAAAATAAAAAACAGAAACAAGTATTAAATGTGTCGCTTAAAAATGATTCGTTCAAATACAAATTATTGTTATGTTATCAAATTTACACTAAAAACAAAGAACAATTTGAGAAACTTCTTAAAGGTACTAAATGATACCATTAAATTCTCATTGTTACTTATGAAAATGGATTTGATATGTGTTATTATGCTTATTTCAGCGAATCATTTAACGCTAAAGATATTTATTTATCCTGTGTTAGGTGTTGTATCGAAATTATAATATGTTAAAAAACAATATTTTTATTCTATGGTCTCTAGGTTTGTTTATTGTGGAGCAGAAGATGTATCTCCTACTTCAGTTCAAATGGCATTAGAGCTGTTTGCTGCTTCCAAGAAATACAACATTCATAAACTGTCCACCATCTGCCTTTGCTACTTGTATGATCACGTGACAGAAAAGAATGTTCTTGAAGTACTGACTTACTTGAAGCTGCTCTTTGCTACTAACAGTTACGATGACGAACAGAACCTGCAGAACGAACTTTTTCTTAAATGCTTTACTCTCATAGACGTTTACGCTGAGTTCGTGCTGTCCACCAGTGATTTCGATAATCTAGACTCAGACATTGTGATGGACATCGTCATTCGAGACACTCTTCAGGTAAAGTCCGAGGTTACAGTTTTTAAAGCTTTGATTCGCTGGGCTTGCCAAGAAGCTAAACGCCAGAAAATAGAGCTCAATTCGATGAACAAGCGCGCCACTTTAGGAAAGCTCTTATACTGCTGTAGATATTTGGTAATGAGTATGCAGGAATTTTGTGGTGGGCCAGCTATGTCTGGAGTACTTACTGACGAAGAGAAGGACATCCTGATAGCACATCTTAACGGGGATTCTTCTATTCCTCTTCCTGAACAGTTAAGTGACCGGAAATTGGCGATCAAGCGGTGTGAACTATCTGTCCAGTTAACCAATCCCCCTCCTCCTCTGAAAGGTACCACCAGGAACAGTCCAGACTCTCAATCATCTTGTCCAGTAAAGAACAAGAAGAAATGTAAAAAGCTGCTTAAAGGACTGGAAAGCATTTTAATTCATGTTATCCAGCTGTTGGACTGAATATATCGTTTTCTAAACTTCGCGGTGAACTTGCTCTAGCGTCTGTTTAATAAGTTGTTCCTTTTTTGGTATTCTTTATTAGGTCTTATATAATTAAGTTTGCTCACATATATGACCACATGTTTATTTTGAAACTATGTATTGTGTTTGTACCAGCACCTATAATAGACCACAAAGGGTTCAACTGAAAATGTAAATTTATCAAATGTTTGTTTGTTGCTGCAGCAAGATATAGGCAATAAGATATGACTGTAGTTCGTCATATGATATTGATATTGTCTTCATTAAGATATAAAAACAATAACTTATATGCAATTGCAGTATATTACACATTTAATTAAATATTTATTCAAGCACTGTAAAAATTAATTTTTTGTTTACCTTTCATCATTCAAAGCTTATTTTACACTCGTACGTCCATAATATATTGCTATTTTTGCCCTGAAAGCGATGTGATTTTGTAACAAGTTTAAGTATACGGGCTTCACATTATGGAACTTAAAAAAATTACCTACTTTTTATTACAAAAAAAAAAAACTTACAAGAGCTAACTTTAATTATTAGTTATAGAAATAAGACGACTTTGCTTATTTATGGACAATCAGCTTGTCCATCTTCATTAATGAACCCTTTTTTGATTGATATGCTTAAGTAGTCGAGCATGGCGGAGGGCTTTCCGTGCGTGTACTGTGAATCTGCGTATTCATGGTTCACGGCCCTTTATTGCAGAAATGTCATTCGAACATTTAGACATGGGTGTATTATAACACTAAAATTGTCGGTCAAGTCAAACAAGAGTAGCTCATTGGATGGTTGTGGATGCTGTTCATTTGCTGCCTTCTTTGTCAATGCTAATCAGTTCAAAACCAGGGACGGCTATGCTTAAATAACCATTGTGTAATTTTCTGCGAAGATTCTAGAAAAACAAAAACAAGAATATCCTCAAACCATTGATCCCTTTCTCTTCTTCTTAGCTTCCATTGAAGTAATCGCCATTAAAACCTTGCTGTTTCACTTTCCACCACATTCTCTGTTGTAATGTTACTACTCTAAAATAATCGTTTTCATGACCGTATTTTCTAACAGATTATCTACTTACCTCGATATATGCCAAATTTATCACTTCTTCTAAGGTACTGCAGAAACAACTTGTTATGATCTTCCTTTGTAGCCACATACTTCGAAGTCTTCCTGTCTCTAACAGTCCATAATCTTCACCGTTAATGGTTTGCACTCATGCTTTGAAACAGGCCAGATTGCTAGTTTCAATCTTTTCATTTTTGCCACTTTATGTTTGCCACTTTTTCGTAGGAAGAGAGAATGTGGAATGCATTTAAATTCATGAGATACCTGCGCCTAATCTCTTAACGTTATCACATTCTGTTGTGACCCTAGATCTAACAATTAATTGTCCAGTGTTTCGTTGCAAATCATAATTTTCTTAGGGTCATTTTGCTTCCTAACTAGGCGCTTATCTAGTACATCAACTGATAATATTTAGATATTTAGAAAGAAATGGAATTTCTTTTTTTCTCGCACATATATACTAGAAGTAGTCTACCGATTAACGTGCTGGGCTGTACAGAAATGATACAAAGTTCGAACCTTGATATCATTAAGTACTTTTTGTCCTTTCAGCTTTTGGGCGTTAAAGCTGTGACTGTCTAACCCGTTATTCAATTAAGAATATTAAGAGTAGCTGCATAGGTGGTGGGTGCTGTCTATTAATGTTTCTTCATCTGGTCACCATATCTAGATTAAAGATGGCTATGTATAGATCTCGGGGGTGTTTTAGCTGTCCGTTTGCCCATGTGTCCACATAAGGTTCCATTCAAGTTGGATAAACCAAATACGCATATATTGGTTACGAGTAAATTGCAGCCGATTTGTAATCATGTTAATAGCTCAATATCTGTTTACTGCTAAAGAATAATATGATTCAAGATAGGTGGGGTGCAACATTTATCAAAAGGTTTTGACCAATTTACTGTAATCAATTTAACGCATTTACCAATGGATAAACATGTGACTTAAAACTTAATAATAATTAAGCAGAAAATATAATTTTCTTTTAATTTTTTGTTGTAAAATTACTATTTAAAGTGCATTTACTGACTGTCAATAGTTTGAAACCATTCATATTTGTATTTGTAAATTGACTTTGTTTAGAACTTATAATGGAAAATTAACTCTCGAACTGATACAGAAAAGCATAACATGTGTATTTATATGGTGTGATATTTTTGATGTTCTGTACTTGTAGCGGCGGGAAGGTTACTTAATTTCTATTCTAGTCAGTAAGTTAACCTTTGTTCTATAAAATTTGATTACAGCATTGTGGGATGATACTTTATAGTGACCTGATACTGTGATGTTCATATAGCTGCTGTGGTATGTATTAAGTCAATAGTAGAGGATATATATCGGCTTGTTTACTTCATATATATCGATGGCACTGGAGTTAAAAATATTTTTTGATTAACCTATAAGAACGATGTGTTACTCATTGTTGTAAATTGTGCGACATTGAAAATTATATAGTATATTTCTTATTTCGTGAAATGGGGAAAAATATTCACCCCGTATATATGCAAATTGCACTTACTTCAGTCTTAATAAAAAACTCCATTGATCTTTGGTATGCTAGTTAAACATGTCCACACGAACTTGTTTCAACGTAACTAGGATTAATTCAGAAGATGGATGAGTTTTTCAGTTCTAGTGGAAGTTAAGTGTCATGCTGGCTAAGTGAGAACAGTAACAAAGTGGCTCCACACTATCCAGAAGATCGAAGATGGTGTAACTCCACCAGTCTCCTGGTTTGTAGTTTTAAGAAATTCATGCTTTCCTGTTAGCAGAGAGTAGTCTCAACCTTTTCATTAACGTACACGGAAATAGCTGAAAGACACTAACACCAGACGCTAAGATTCAACATTCCTTGAATTTAAGATGTACTTTTTTGTACTGAATATGATATGAAAGAGAAATATGCTAAAGATGAATGAGAATTAACCAAGGGCACAGGAAACGTGGCTAGGGATCTTAAACATCTCATCTAGTGTGTGAAGTATGTTGTGTAAGAATAAGAACGATTCAAGTAAGAACTTTTCAGACTATAAAGTTTCCAGTTAGTTTTGGAATATGGATGGTGATGTGAAGCTACTTCGATCTGCTTGGTCACCATCTTACTATTTGTATGGGTGACATATATATTTAAAAAATATATGTACATTTTGTGAAACTCGGCTCAATGATATAGGGTTTGGTGCCACTACAGGTTAGTTTGCGCATCTACGGTCGAGCTTGGATTTGTTGATTAATTATCGACACGAGAAGATTCAATTACTACAGCAATTAAGTCTCAACTGAAAACAGTAACCGTTAATCGTAATACATTAATATTAGACAAAAGTAATTCGGTTTTACTTTATTTTTGTCTACATATGCTGTTTCAAAACAGAACTATGTTAATATACCAAGTAGCATATCTTTAAGGGAACCTATTTTGTGAGATATATGCCAATAACAGAAAGGAGAGAATGTTTTTGTTCTAAACTTCCAAAGCACGTTTGTTTTAATTTGAAGTTTGAAGTATATTTGCATATAAACATTGAAGTACACAAAACTGAATGTCGTATGTATACACGAATTCGATTTTTATCTATCGATAAAGGTTTTTTGAATCTAATATAAGTCTTATTTGTTAGTATGTATATTGACTTGATAGATACATTTGTAAAGAAATATATATACATTTGTTTTTTTTAAAGGAAAAAATTTAACATAAGCTCAATAATTACATAGATCTAGAAATTCACATATTCATCTACGTTTTAGATTCTATCTGATATTTGTTGATTATAGTGGTTGTTGAGGTAAAAACATACTTTTGCATTTATTCATCATTTGCATTCACACTGCTTGTATTCAGTTTCAGTATTGTTTAACTACGTTTAAACATGCTCTATGTGTATTTAAAAGTGGTGAATAAAACGCCTGGAAATCTAGTTTCCCCCCTTCTTGTATAAAGTTATTACATCAAATGCTGTTTTTGTTTCAATCGTCTGCTGTTGAGAACATCTGTTTCTTCTGAGTAGTTAAGATTCACAATTTTTATTCATAAGCCCATCACTACCTACATAATCAACAAAATGTTATTATTGCTATAAAATTTACCAAGTTTGTGTATTTTCAGCTATTATGCCCAAAATTGTGAAAAATTGCTGAGAAGAATAGAAAGCTAAAATTAACAGCTACTCTAAAAATTTTACATGATATTTTTGAATTTATAAAGGAACTTAAAAATGTTATAAGTGAGACAAAACATATATATGAAGGTGAAACAATTAGCTAAAACGAAAATGGTACGTCTTCGGCTTTATAAAGGGATATGCGAAACTAAAACGAAGATAAAAATAGAAACTGAAGAAACAGTTTTAGTTTGTTTTAAAATGTGAAATGAATTTTATTACGAAACGTTTGTACGTACTAATAATCATCCATATTATGGAACTTACACAATGTTGTTTGAAAACTCATACCTATAATATTTAAGAATGACCTTTCTATACATGAAACTTAATTTACACCTGGCAGGAATAGAAATTTCTAACATGAAGTGTAAGAAGATAAACAATAAATCTACATTATCCATAACATTACAATATTATTAACACCAAAGAAATAAGTATTTTAAGTAAAATGCTATTTACTTGTACCATTTTTGGTACTTATTTCAATGCTAGTAAGGTGAATAAACAGAGGATAAAAGTTTATATATTTAATGTAAAAGAGATAACTTATGAGAAAGAAGAGTCCAATTGAAAATAGGATCACCATGGTAAAACAAAACAACATGTTTAATCTTCGAAAGTTTCGGAATTTGCACATTCCACAATCGGCTTTCTAAAATGTGTTCATACAACATACTTATGATGTATATATATATATACAAACTGTACAAGTGTTAATATGAAAGAAAAAAATGATGCAAAATATACAGAGGGGAAGAAATAAGTATATTTTACAAATATTACGAATACAATTTAATAAAATAAATATATCAAAACAAGGAGGGATGAAAAGAACTGAGATTATTATTTAGCTCTTTTTTACATTTTTGTTTACACTCCAACTATTCTTTTGGCAGAAGATAGATGAATTTGAAGATGCTCAAAGTTTTCGTTGGAAGTGACAACATTCAACTTTCTATATTTTGACGTTTGAATAGCAATACAGATGCTGGATATATTATACTAAAACGATTTTGGAGTCTCACCACGTCGTTATGCTTCATGCTGTACTTGATAACTGTACATCTTCACAATAGCTCTGCAGCACAGTTTCCATTACAGAAGGATCCTTCGTAAGGGTGTTATGTTCAAAGCCCACCACTCATCCCTGCTTGATTTCCATAATCGATATGGTATACAAAGTCCACTCTTTCCCAATGCCCATTTTAACAGTCCGATCACACAGAAATTCTTTGTTGCTGCATTTTCTGCGACTTTACTGCTATGCCTACGTATTGAATAGCATGAACTCCCGTTTCATTCTCCAATTGCTTGAAACATGTGACAGTTGAATAGATATGTAGTATCTTGTATACACGTGGCTTGTGTTTCTTGTTTTTTTCAGATAAAGAAGAACCTTCTTGTTTTTGTTGCCTGGGCCACGTGACACCTTTGCCATTGACCTTTATGTTCGTAAATTCTTATATGTTACAAGAACAAACACTGTGCTTACCACGGCTGTGGATACAACTTGTTGCAGGTCTATTTCTGAATGGTCTAGATGGCCCCAGTTGATTCATATTTCTTTGTTTACCAATGACACTATGTACTAGGGGTATCTCCGTCTTGGAAATCCTAAATTACCAATCTGTACACAGATTGTTACAGACTTTTTCAAAAGTGATCAATTTTTAGTGACATTATATTACTGACACAGCAGAAAAGAATGTTGAAATGTAGTTCTGCTCCATGCCGTTGCACTACAGCTTTATATTGGTTATGGTTTTTGCATATTGAAAATCTCTTAATTAACACATATTCAACTCTCTGACTGTATGCATTTTTGGTATAATGTAATCTATTTCATTTTTCTATCAAAAGAAAGAAAAAATTAACTGGAACATTATTTTTGAATGAAATAAATTTTTATACTGTGATAAGATAATGGATTATTAGATAATAAGAAAGTTAATATTTATGGCAAAATAAAGGAAACTTTAAATATTATTACAATTGTTAATAAATAAATGAACGTTTAACCTTTAGAACTTTTATTAATTAATGGTTTTTAACACGCCATAAGCTAGTTATATATTTCGAAAAATGACAAGCAAAGTTTAAGATGGTAAATTTGCCTTTCTTATTCAAGAATATTTACGTCTGCATATTTCTTCCAAAAATGCATTTTCAAAGGATCTTCTTTTTAAATAAATTTTTTGTATTTCTTCTACAAGAACGAATAATCCAATTATGGATTATTATATAATGTTTTATTTAAAGAAAGCTGAAAAAATAATATTTTAATGTATTAAATTTCGACCAAATTCAAATTTCTTTATGTTCCAACACAACTTTTAAATCGTTCTGCCCTATAATGAAAGGATTACCTATTACAATTTTCAAACTTTAGAGTTTAATTTTGGATAGTATAGGTGAAAATAAGTGTCAATTTGATGAGAAATACATTTGTTCAACAAAGCTAATTAACTTCGATGTTCGGAAGTCGATACAATCTATATTTACCAAACTTCAAGTGGTCCGGCAT